AGGAGAGGATGAGGAGGGAGAGGAGGAGAAAGAGGAGGCCGCAGCGGTCTGGGCGGGGTGGCGGTGCTCGTAGCCGCGCGACTGGACCGCCGCCCACCCCCTTCTGTTTTGTCTTCGAAGACGCTCTGCGCTCTCGACTTCGGCGCGATCTCCGCCGCCGACGCCTCGGCGTTATAGTGTTCCTCCTGGTTCCGGCTTTGTAAAATGAGCTTTAAATACGAGATCAGTAAATCTGAGACTTGCTAATCCTTTGGGTATATTTGCGCCCGCGCGCACGACATAATGGAAATGCGTGCTGTGTGCGGAAGCAAGACCCGGCCCTGTGCCCGCTGTGCGACGCGGGGGCTGCGGCGGCGGGGAGCAGGGCGGCGAAGGACTCAGACAGTGCGAGGACCGGGAAAGGAGGTTGCTCTGCAAACGCGAATCTCAGTCGAATGATTGACGGGGTGGAGAGGGAGACGGAGACTGGTCCGCTATCGATGATCCATATGGAGGAGACAAAGGAAATTGATGAAAAGCAGATGCACAGGAGAGAAGAGAGGAGAGAGCGTTAATAATAAGGAAAATGCCATTGCATTTGTGATAATGAGAAATATTGCTTAGTTATATGTTGTTTAAATAAAGAATGATTATATACTGTTTTCTATTGCTTAATAATGTCTACTTTCGAAAGCCTTTTTCATTTTAGTGAGCAAAAAGAAAAACAAATTCAAACACAAAGGCACTCTAACATATGGTCTTCAAGGCACGTTTTCATTCACCATTTAATTATATTTTAACAATATTATGTAAGTCCTCACGTTTTCTTTTGCGTGCAGGTGACATCGGAATCGGTAATCCACTGCCAACAGTTTTTAAATGCATTTGATACGCCTTTTTATACACAATGAGATTGTGGTACTACTCTGATTTTGAAAGAAGTAAAATGTTCATGAGCAGAGCAAGAAATTGCAAACAAGTAATACATCTTGCAATCTTCAAGAGAATCGACCAGCAGAAAGATATAATGGCATTATTTGAAAGTTTATGCTATTAGTACTTAAATCCAAATATCTCCAAATTAATACATGGAGCGTGTTATTCACGATGCTCGTCGTCCATTTTGCTGAGCTCTCGTCTTAGTAGGAGTAGAACCGGGGGTTTGGATTACTATTTTGTCAGCAATGCTAAAAGATCAAATCTATAGTCCGTTTACCGATTCAAGTAAATTTTCTATCACTTGAGAGCGAACAAGTCAAGTTTTCAAATCTTGCTAATTTCATGTTTTTGTAACTTATATTCATCGTTCAACTATTTTAAAAGGTTAAAAGGTGGGGAAGAGATTTTCAAGCTCAAGAACACGTACGCAGGTTGTTCTTCTGCCCCAAATGTTACTTAGAGTTTTAACTGTTCTCTGACAATAAACCAAGTCAAATCGCTTGTAGGTTGCAGAGAACGCTATGTTGATTCCACCCCTTGCGCGCGTCGGATACAACCTCGTCTTCGGATATTAGCAAGTGATTAACGCCACTGTGGCCCCCTCCCGTTCCTGGCGCGTGCTAGCTTGTTTTGACGGCGCGTGTCTAGGGGAAACCGCGTGGCAAAATCTCCGAGAGGGGACACATGTCTGTTCTCAAAGGAATATATTTCATTGAACCTTGAGGTGACGCTTGTGGAAAATGACGATTCCAGTTTCCTCTTTACTATTATTCATTTATTTCATGAGATGTATTTCGTAATACAAATAGCCCTCTTTTAGAAAAATATTGGAATTTCAATAACGATGTCGCAGACCCTTGTTGATAATGCGAGTAAAAATTTGCCATTTGGTGAGGGTATAAACAGATGACGCTAATTTTCAAATTTATTTTTCTCCCCATGTGGACATAATTCACCACTTTCCACGCGTCGGAAGTAGTACTTAATTTACATTATAATTTCAAACACACATTTAATATGTGTAGACGTATTTATATAATTCTTTACTTTATTTCCACAGGTTAACCATGAAATAACATCCGGAAGAGGGTTGCAAAATGAAATAAATATTTCTGTGGCCAGTAAAACACATCATTCACCTAGGGTGAAAATTTCTTGTAACTTCTAGCACGGTATTAACCAGAATTTTACAATCGTTATGTGATTGGTTTTATATTACACGTTTTTGTGAATGCCAGTGAGAACGTAATTACTTTACGACTACGTTGTTGCAAAATTATTCATTTGTTTCCAGAAATTCTGTATAATAAATACAAATTATTTTCCAAGAAAAGGCAAAATCTGAATGATTCTTTCTTTATCATTGAATGATTATTGTTGCCCATTGATGATATACGTAATGACATTAAAATTAATCTATGATATTCTATTGTATTTCTACGAAATGCCAAAATTACATTTCTTACATCAACAAAAACTTCAGTCGAATTAAGGAGAGATATGAATTTTTTTTCAAAATGGCGAAATCTACGTTATGTATACGTAAAATTAATATCATTACTAATTTTACTATGAAAAACTCAACAACCATTCTTGTGATGTTCACTTACTGATATCATGGTCTAGTTTTTTCTTATCATTTTCAAAAATGTTAGTTTTGCTTAGAATATGTGTTGCGTTTAGTTCCAGCATTTGCAGTTTCTGTTTATAAAAGCTGTCGAATAATTTACTCATTGAGTGAAGCACCCTTCATACGACTCGTCCCCAAATTAACACGCCTGCTAATGGTGGTGTTTCTAGAAATAAAAGAGAATGTTGATAATTGAAGCAGTGTGTTTTTGAAACTACCGGAAATGTTTAACAAAATCATTGTAATTAAATTTAAGTGAATAGCAATAAATTTTATTTAACATTTGATGTGGGATGTTCCAATATATTTAGTTGAGTTGACAGCGTAAAACATACTATTTTTGGTTATAGCAATGAAGTCCAGAGTAAAGAATAATGTATAATAAAACATATTAATTAAATAGAAGAGTCCTCAGCAAAACGATCTTAAAATATATTTTAACGATATTTTGCGTAAGCATCACATTTCGTGTAAGACAATTACACTTTTACTCATGTAATATTTAGCAAGAATTTTTTTTCAATTTAAGTGAATAATAGGACAATGCAGAACTAGTGTTACAACAGAATGACACAGATTTTCTCTTAGTAAAGTTTTCGTTGTAACTTGTTCCTTGGTGTGGACTGACTTTACAGTCTTGCCTCACCCTTTTGCCAGCTGCCATCAATCGCCGCCCAAAAATCATTTTTTGATTTTTTTCTCAATTTCGTTGACCTAATAGTTGAACCGAAATATTACTTTAAGAATATTAAAGAAGAGTAAAACCTCGTCATAAATGGCAATTTTCTTTGAAAAATTTGGAGTTGTTTTATACGAAAATGTCGTTTAAGCGTTAATGTAATTGCCAAATTTTGAGCTCTCTTTCACAGAAAATGTTTGGGTTTTTTGAAAAACTTCATTGGAAGTCATTTGAGGTACATTAACAAGCAAATGCAATAGTATTTACAAATTGCTGGAAATGTGCATATTAATGGCATGAGAGATAATAAACAATAGAGTACAGCAAAATGAAATATATGAACTTAAACAGTGTAATTAGCACTACCCGTCGGAAAAGTGTGAAAAAATAATCTGGAGCCACTTTTAAGAAAATGGCGTTTTTGAAAAAGCGGAAATTTAAGCTACTTTTCACAGAAAACTGTTGAGTTTTCGAGAAATTCTAGCTGACATTATTTAAAGCACATGTGCTCATAAAAACAATAACGTGAACAAATGACGATAATGTAAATATTAACGACGTAAGGGGCAAGTAAAAAATTGCATTTTTGTAATTTTTGAAAATACAAAAGAATAGAGTAATATGGGGTTTATGTCATCTAGCACTATTCCTACCAAAGGATGCAAGAAAAAATTTAGATCCGTTTTTAAGAAAAGTTTGCATATATTATTTTTTAATTGTGTATTTCCACCCAATATTTCGCGAAAATTACTAAAAGTTTTAAAAAAAGAAACACGTAACGAAAGCACTTATTACTAGCTACTAATAAAACAAAGGTACGCTTTACATTATTTCTAAACATCATAACGTATCACCCGATTTTCATGTCTATTTCCGAGAATACAAAAAAAATTAAGAAAAAATAAAAGTTCAGGCAAAAATAATTAAAAATAATCAGGATATTTTTAATGCAAGTAACAAAACTAAAGCAATGTGGAATATCGAAAAAATACGACCACATCATCTCAATACATCGATACATCTCGATACCAACATAATGAAAAAGTAGCAAGTAATCCAAAAAAGTGACTTATCTCTTCAATCAACTTTTCTATAATTGCGGCTAAACTCACAAAATTCAACATAATTCCATTCCCCAAAAAAATGTCGACACAATGTTTATTTCAGATACTTCTTCTAATGAAATCCTGAAAATAGACAGTTAACTAAAAAATAAATATTCAGTTGGTTTAGATGAATTTCCGGATTTTTATTGAAAACTGGTGTACCTGCCGTTATACACCCGTTAAATCACATTTTCAATGCTTCTTTATGCACAAGAATATTTCCAGATATTTTAAAAATAGCACAAATTAAGCCACCGTTTAAAAAAGGAACAAAAATGAAATTCAAAATTACCGGCCAATTTCTCTTTTGTCAGGTTTCTCAAAAATATTAGAGATGCTTTTCTATATGCGAGTGGAAACTTTTCTCAGGAAGAACGACGCGTTTTCAGACTCACAACGTGGTTTTAGAAAATCACAATCTGCGGAAACTGCCATTTTTTCTTTTCTTAAAGAAGTTGCTTTACCCATCGACCTAAATGAAGCACCCATTGGAATATTTTTAGATATTTCTAAAGCTTTTGACGTAATTGATTATAACATCTTGCAATCAAAATTACCTTCTTATGGCATTCATGGTATCGCCCTATATTGGAAAACCACGTACCTTAAGCATCGACCTCAAAGAGTAGAAATACCGTACTGGCACAACAGGATATTATTTACTTAACTTTCCAATTCTTTACTAATTAAATATGGAGTCCCGCAAGATTCGAACTTAGGTCTATCCTCTTTCTGTTAAACGTAAACGGTATGCCCTCGTCTATTAAAAACGGGAAGAACAGTTCTGTTTGCCGATGACACGAACGTTCTTTGCAAAAAAGAAGAAATAAATAGTACGATTTCAGAAGTTTTAAATTCTTTTTTGTAATAACAAATTAATAGTTAACGAAGGAAGAACAGTTTCAATGCAATTTTGCATTTCACGTCAGCAATCGCATACTCCATTGAAAATGAACAATATGCAATTAGCTGATGTTAAGGTAACAGAATTTCTAGGTCTCTCAGTTCAGTCAAACCTCAAATGGAATGTACATATAACAGTATTAAAAACTAAGTTAAGTTCATTATGTTATTTTCATTACGATCAGAATTCCTTCAAATTCCGTCAGCCTTCATGCAGCTCGTTGCGTGTATTTTGAAAATGTGTATTCCCGCCTGAGATATGGCATAATATTCTTGGGGAATCTCACGATGTAGTAACCAAACCTTTAGATTGCAAAAGAAAATCATTAGAATAATGAAAAAATGCCAACCGCGTGATCTCTGCAGGCCTCTCTTCATTGATCTCGGAACCTTGCCTATTTATTTACGAATCTGTAATATTTGTCAAAACTGACTTACTTAATGGCGAGAACATTTTTTTAAGCAATACTCTTATTTACGACTTCAACACACGTCGTAGAAATCACATTCATCACGTGTCAGTATCAACAGCTCACTACCAACATCCACACACAATACATGTACTTTACTTACATTGCCAGATGACATTAAACATTTGAAGACGGTACACAAATTTAAGTTAAAAGTAAAATCTTTTCTGTTACAAAACTGTTTCTATACATTTAGAGACTATACTGATTATCAAAAAGAAAAAAATTTATACAAACAAAAAATATTTTAACAAATAGTGATTTAAAATGAATTAGTTTACGTCTGTATTGTATATTTTTTAAAAGACTTAATATGCTTGTAACAAATAATGTACTTCACTTTCCGGGTCAATGATTCCCCTCTCGATCAGGTTTTTGTCCAGTTTCCCTGATACATTGAACACATGCTGAGATGGCCAGCTGAGCCAGCTGGAAATGCTGAGCCTTGTTTTGCTTCTGAATGTAAATATAGCTTCACTATGCGCACGTTTTGTTGAACTCATCCTTTTGCTTGTAGTTGTAAGAGTAGAGGTAAGGGCGAATTACCATTTTGTTAGTAATGCAGAAGAAAACGAAGTTCGTTTACTGTTGCAAATAAGTTTTCTATAACTCGGGAACGCAAATGTCTAGTTTTTCAAATACCGCAACTGTCGCTCTTTTTAAAACAATTATTATTATTATTATTATTATTATTATTATTATTATTATTATTATTATTTTATATTTGTTTTTAACTTCTATTCATTTTTTTACTATTTATAGTTATAAAGAAGGGAAAGGATTCTGGAATTCAAGAAAACGTTCGCAGATTATCTTTGCTCCCATACGTCACATACAGTTATTTACTGTTTTCTGACTAAATAAATCTAAATCTAAATTATGGTCAACAAAATTAATATAAAAGAAAAATCTCTATTCAATTTTATAGTTGTAGGAAGACACCAAAAATAATTCAAAATTTTGAAATTTTCTAAAATTCAGAATTAACCGTGAAAATCAGACCTATGCCACTTTTATAAGTATGCTTTACTCTGTTTTTACATGAAATTTGAAGAAAAAAATTGGAGCCGATTTTAAGAACATTTTGAAAATGTCCGGGGGACTTAAAATGTAAAGTACATCCAAATTTTTGAAGAACGTTTTTCGAAATCGCTGCGCCTCGAGTCGAGCCAAATCGACCGGGGAATATCAATTTTGGAAAAAATCCTATGTATGTTTCAGACTCTAGTGGTGTTCACAGACGGACAGGTGGACAAAAGGATGGATGGACAGAAGGACAGACGGATAGACGGACGGACGTTTTGAAGAAAACAATTTTTCGGAATCAAGATACTTCAAAATCTGTATTTCCTTTCA